GTCACAGCCGGCCAGGCCAGAGAGCAGCCAGAGTCCACCCCCAGCTGGGCTCAGGGATGTCTCATTCCCACCTGGAAATCTTGGGGTTCTGCGTCTCACCGGCGCTCACTCCGTGGTCAGGAAGGCCAGCAGGTCCCAGTCGGGCTGTTAGGAGGGGGTCTTACGTTTTACCCATGCCTTGACCTTTCTCCTGGGGCTTTGGGGGCGGGTCAGCTCCCCAGCTACTGGGGGCAGCGCACTCCCGGCTTTTGACCCTCGCCCACTCTGGGCTGAGACCTCGCCCACTCCAGGCTGTGCCTGTGAGTGAGCATCCCGGGTCGCCGGGTTCGTGGGGTCCTAGTGGGTTAAGGGGGTGCAGTGCAGGCTGTGGGGCCCGGCAAAGGAGTGGATTGTGAGAGGCAGTGTTATGAATTGAACTCTGTCCCACAAACCTGTGTGTCCTGTGGGAACCATCCCATTTGGGAATGGGCTGTCTTTGCTACGTCTCTTCTGAGACATAAAACATTAAACAAACAAGTAAGAGAAGCAAGGGGGTGGGGGTGGGGTGGAGAGAAGGTGTGATGGTCCCCCAGGAGTGCAGCTCAGACTCGAGGGCCTGCCTCCAGAGAGAGAGCCTGCCCCCAGGCGGATTCCAGCACATATCTCTGTTCCGGCCACCCTGTGAAGTCCTGTTACTGCAGCCTGGACGAGGACACAAGGGCAGCGTGTGGCCGGAAGCCAGGGCCGTCGTCTGACTCTGACCTCAGACCCAGGGACTGTCAGGGGCCTGGGAGCTGAGTGAGTCTGGGGACAGAGCGAGGTGGGGCTGGAGCTGGGACTCCTGATGGCCCGAGGGCTGTCCCCCCAGTGGGGGAGCAGGGGCAGCTGCTCCTACGGTTCACACTTGCAGGAACCCCCCCGAGTCTCCTCTAGGGGCTGGTGGGGAACAGGGAACCCTCCCCACCTAACAGAGATTAACCTGGATCTAAGGTTCGATGTGTGGACGAGGCATTTAGCTGCCCATGGCCACTGTGATGGTGTCTGCTGGTGGCCCAGGTAGCAGCCCCACGCTGGCCCCACTTTCCCAGTGATCGGCTCCCAGGGCCCAGGCTGCGAGCAGAGTCTCTGTGGCTGTCCAGGGACATAGGACGGGGAGGCGGGAGGACGCTGGGAGGGCGGGTGGAGAGGAAAAGGAAAGAGCCATCTAGGGGGGGGGGGAGGGTCCACTGCACGCTGGCTCTTGCTTGATGTCATTTCTGGAGATAGGCGGTGTAACCCTCACAATCCCTATCTTTAAAAGCAGCCACCGCTCCAGATTCCTCACCCCTCAAACCTGTGTATTGGTCTGAAGAGTGAAACGGAAATGGATGTGGGGTCTTAGGACGAGACCAGAGATGAGCTTCCCTGACGGTGGGCCAGCGTCGTCCAGCCTCAGCCTGGGTGTCAGAGCAGGGGCAGCCAGGCTCTGCTGAGAGTGAGCCCCTGGGAGCCAGGCCACGGTCAGGGGCTGGTGACCTGGGCTGGAGTTCTGGGCCAGGCCTGATGCCCACGCAGCGCCACGCCACCGTCCGCCTGCAGCTGAGTACGGCCCTGGTGAGGGCCCTCTGGATCCACTGCCCCTACTGCTGGGAGGAGGGCCCAAGTGGGAGTGTAAATTGAACTGATCGGAGATGCAACATGACCTGATCCATCGGCAGTGGATTCTCGGCACCTCCGGCTCTGGTGGTAAAGCGTCTAGCAGTTTCTGTGACTCCTCCGGGGACTTTTATTTATGATGGTGCCTGGCCCTGGCCTTTTATTAGCCACTACTACTCGCTGGTTTCTCTCTCACTGACCGAGTGTGCCCCGAGAATGATGGGGGAGGGGTGAGGAGGGGCGTGGTGGTGGTGTTGGCAGCGGTGGTGGGCAGGGATGTTGGGGGCAGGGGTAGTGGGGAGGTGGAGGGATGGTGAGGAGAGGGAGACGTGGTGAGGAGCAGGGGTGTTGCTAGGGGCAGAGTTTATCTACCTGCACCTGGACCCTGGGGTCACCTTGAGCCCCTGGGACCCTGGGCTGAAGTGCCCTGCCCCTCCAGCTGCCATGCCCCTCCCTGCCCAGACCTTCCCTAGTCTCTTCTGGGATCCTTGGGGCAGCAGTCTGTGGGCACCCCTTGTCCTGAGCCTCTTTGTCCCCAGCTGTGGTCCAGTTGCCCCAACTCAGACTGAGCTCCGGAGAAGCTTTCTGCTGTTTTCATCTGGAACAAGCAAACAAACAAACACCCCCACCCCCACCCCCAAACTCACAGCGATTCCGACTCATAGCGACACTTCAGGACGTGGCAGAGCTGCCCTGTGGGTTTCTGAGACACACTCTTCACGGGAGTAGAAAGCCGTCTTTCTCTCCGAGGGGCGACTGGTGGTTTTGAACTGCTGACCTTGAGGTTGGCAGTGCAACCTGTAACCTCTGCTTAGCCTGGGAGCTCTGCTGATACCTGCACAGCATCCTCGCACCCCTGGGCTGGCAGGCTGAGTGCACATGGAGACCTTGGGTTGGGGGAACCGTGGCCCTGCGCAGGGGCCCCCTCGGGGGTCTCTTACAAGCCAAGTGCAATGCCATCAAGTGAATTCTGCTCGTTGCGACTCTACACGGGGGTTCCCCGCAGCCGCATCTTTCTCCCGAAAGCCCAGCACCCGGTCACGATTCACTAAGAACCAGTCGTCTTGAGAAGATGGCGCTTCAGCTTGCAGCTGTTCTCCTCTCTGTGTCCCAGCTGCGCCCTCCTGCCTTCAGAGGCTGCTCCCAGGGGACCCCAGCTTCTGGAGGGAGCGAGGCCCTGCACCTCCAACCGGAGCCCTCGTGGCACTGCCGGCAGCTCTCATCAGCCCAGCGGGGCCCCTGTGAGAGGCAATCAACGTGGGTTTGGAAGACTCCCCCCCGCTTCAGCTGCTGCCGCTTCCCCGCCCCACTTTACCCGCCTCCTTGCCAGGCCTTTCCACTCACTGCTGGTGGTGGTCAGTGGTGGACAGCCTGTCTGAGTCATCGTTGGCTTCTGGCAGCCTCAGCCTCAGTGAGCCCCAGTGGCCTCAGTGCCCACCCTCCACAGGAAGGAAGGGAGTCTGGTGGTATGCCTGTGGACAAGGCTGGGCAGCAGGCAGGGGGGTGGCTAGTGGCTAGTTCTCAGAGAGGGTTCTCACAGAGACCCCTGAGGTAGGGAGCTACTGATCAACGTGCATTCTCTTGAAGGAGCTAGCTTTCTTGCCAGGCCCAAGAGAGCTGGGAGTTTGCAAATGGATTTGGGGCTCCACTGTTATCTGTAGTCTTCTGCAAACCACGTGCTCAGAATTTAAGCTCTAATACAATTCCCTCCTCTGATCTTGGATTTTATTAACAATCCTTGGGTCACACAGGCTGGTGTGCTCCTTCTGTGTGAACTTAGCTGGCACCTCATTTAGATGGCTGCTTGCTATTCTTTGTCAAGACTTTGCTTTATGAAGGTGAGCCAACAGGCCAGAGAGCTCACTGTTGTTGAGGGGGTTCCAACTCAGAGACCCTCGAAGGTCTCAGGACTCTGAGTCCTTACAGGAGCAGACAGCACTATCCTCCTCCTGCAGAACAGCCGGTGGGCACAGACTGTGCACCTTTCAGCTCGCAGCTCACCCCTAACCCACTGTGCCCTAACCCACTATGTCACCGGGCCTCCCACCGAAGCAAGCTCCCTAAGTTCCTTTGTGAAGAGAGCATTCACTCTGTACGGATTTGTTAGCAGCCAGGCTAAGAGGAAAGAGCCTCTCCGGGTTAGGGTTCGACCTCTAAGCGGGCTCACCGTCCACACCCCCACACAGTCGCATTTGCCTGGACTGGGCATCCTGAGACCAGTAAGTTCCTGGACAAGGGCTTTCTTTTGCACTCGGCAATATTCGCTGAAAGAACCCTGGTGGCTGGGTGGTGGACACAACCTCAGATGTGGACAGGAAGCTCAATTGCTCTAACGCATCAGCTGCTTCAGGAGAAAGTCAAAGCTGATGGCTTCCCTAGAGATGTGTTGTTGGTGGTGTCGTTGAGTGGTTCCAACCCACAGTGGCCCTCGTCACGGCAGATCAAAACCCTGGTCCTGCGCCTCCTTCCGGGCAGTTGACACACTTTCTAAAGCAACCCCACTGCTGTGGTGCCTGCTGGACACAGTGACAGACCCCACGGGACAGGGGAGAACTACCACAGGCAGTTTCCAAGGATGGCAAAACTTGGTCTTACATTCTTTGGACATGATCCACTGCCAACTTTTTTTTTTTTTAACCTTTCTTTGACCTGTCAGCCAGCTCTTGGACTGCATTACGCCCTCAGACTAATGGTCCCCCTTATCTGCACGATAGGTCTGTAGTTATCTTGCCCTTGTCCCATAGAAGACTTCATAAATACCCTCTTTACTAATCACCATCATAAAGGAACCTCAGGGCATCAGGCCCTCTGCACACAGCGCTGCTGGCTGACTGTGGGAGGTGCCGAAGGGTGGGAAGTTCGGCTTGAAGCAGGTGTCTCCGGTGCATGTTTGAAGCTGCGCTGAGGACCAGGGAGGGGAACTAGCCTTCCAGGTGAGCGGAAGGGGTGAGGGTAACCGAGCCCTTACTGCAGGTGGGACGAGGGACAGGCCTGCTTGCTGGGTCCACTGGCTGGTCACCCAGTGACTCTCCCTCTGGAGAAGGGTCAGCATTTATGCCCGGAGACCACTGAGCACTAGCCACCTGCTGTCAAGTGGGGTGTAAACGTATCCAACGCAACACTGGCTTCCACTTAGCTAAAGAAGCTAAACAGGGCAAAGAGGAGAGGGGACAGGGGACAGTGGGCGCATAGGCCTGCCTTGAGGGGTCTCAGAAGGGCTGGAAATCACATCTGAAGACGGAACCGTCTGGGCGCAGTCGTGCCCTGATGCCCCTGCACTCACCCATCGTGTCGGGTTTGGGTGTCGGGATGGAGCCCCCAGGGCAAGACCTCACTGATGGAGCTGCCACCCAGGCGACCGCGGTACAAAACACCAAAACGGCTTGTAGGATAATTAAAACTATTTCGCATTTTTATTTATCAATCTGGTTTCTAATATACTTTGAAAGAACTGAGAGACATTCACAGAGAATATTAGCATACATACACCACCCCCCTCTTTCATTCTCGGGTACATGCTGTTAACTCACAGGATGCGGCTCTAGCCCACTTCACAGGCAGTCATGACCCTGCATTTCACAGTCCCCACCTGCTCGCAGCCCCCACCCTGCCCACCGAGGACGCTAACCCTGGGGGTCAGTGATGTCTGGAATGGCTGCCTGGCCTCAACAGGGGCACCTCCCTTGACCTGGCACCCCGAATCCAGCCTCTCAGGACAGACACGACGTCTGGAAGCAGACCTGCAGACGTGGGTGCACTCGTGTGAGCCCGATGGCTCGTCGCCCGAGCTGTGGCTGCTGAGTGGGGAGCACACAGCCTCACCAGGCATGCAGGAAGCAGCGTGCAGCAGAGCTCGGCGGGCCAGGTGACAGTGGGTGTGCCACACTGGCCTGGGTGGCCGTGGGTGCCCCATGATCACGGTGCACCCCTGTGGCTGGGTACACACCCCTTTGTCTCCAGATCCTGGCCTTGGCACCTGGCCGCTTCCTGGGTGACCTGTGGCCACAGGCCGGAAGTGAGTCCCACCAGGGGCCTCAGAGGCAGGTCTTGTTTGAAAGCCTCCTATCATGAAATAGGCACACTGGCCCATCTCACATTGGGGCACAGGTGGACCGGGCCAAGGTGGCACAACCAGTCAGGGGTGGGCAGGAGAGGAGCTGCAAGCTGACTTTGGGGGACCATGCGCCCAATGGCTGTGACCCCAGGGGTTTCAAAATGGCCTGGTGCTGCACTAGTTGAGGGGTTTGAACCCACCCTTGCCTGTTGGTCTGTCCTGGTCAAGCCTCCCGCCCGGAAGGGGGGTCCCACTGTCTGCAGCGCATTTTCTCTGCCAGGGGGTGGCTGTGGGTGGGGATGGAGGTGGCAGCGACACAGCATCCGTCAGGTGTGTGCGTGTGTGTACTAACTCAGGACTGACTATTGGCAGACTCCTGAAACGGTCAAACCGGCCTCGTGCTTGCAGATCGCCCTGGGTTTGAGGAGATTGCTTCTGGCCCATTTGCAGCTGGTGGGGAACGAGCGTGTGGGGGTGCAGAGCATCCAGGCTTTGCGGTGGTGCTGTGTGACCGGCACCTGGCATCTAGGCTGCCTGGGCCCACACTTCTGAGGGAGGGAGCTGGAGAAAAAAGCCACTTGTTTCTTCACACAAACCAATTATTTGCCATCTAGACTGTTCTGGGTGTGGCCGTCGTGAGCAGACACGGGGTTTTTGGAAAACCCACTGGGCACGGGATGGCCACCCTCCGGGGCAGGGCTGCGTCCACCCCGGGACTACCGGATGGAGAGAGTCCAGGACCCGGTGAGCAGAGCTCTGGGTTTTGGGTCTCAGCCTGTGTGGCAGGAGGGAGTTGAGAAGGGAGGTGGGGGGAAGGGGAGGGCATTTCTGTATCGGGGTCAGCCTTGGCCGTTCTGCCTCTGGGGTCATCCCTGGCAGGTGACTGCCCTGGTGGCTGTGAGAAGCGGAGGTGCTGAGGCGTTGTGGAGTCGAGCGGCTTCAGGAGGTGCAAGGCAGGATGCATTTCGTCTGTCGTACCGTGTCCTGTGACAAAGGCCGGAAGGGCCAGAAGCAACATGGAGGTGCTTTACGGCAGCCCTGCTTGTAACACGTCGTTGGGAATCGTAACGCCGTTCGGATAGTCAATCCGTTTTCAATGCATGTCACAGAGGGGTGGCTAGACCTCCTCTAAGCCAAGGGTGATCTGAGGCCCCTGCGGGAGGACTTGGACACCCTTCTGTGATCTCCAAGAGGTGGCCTCAGTGCAGTGGGTCCAGTGTCTCCTTGATGGTGGCCCGGGTCACCCAAGGCTCGGATGACATTCCCATCACCTGGGGACGAGAAGCCCCCCTGGGGAGTTTGGGGCTCCTGGAGTCCCGAGAAGTCGCTTCCATCTCACCGAGCGGCACCGTCGGCACAGCCCCAAGCCTCCGGACCCGCGTCCCATCCCTTCCCAGGAAGAAAAGCAGAAAAGCTGGGATCAACATTTTTTGTGTTTTTAAAGGAAAGTATTTATCAAGTACAAGAAACCTGAAGTGTGATGATCACACGACAGTCCTGTGGGAATGACCTTCTCGTTCCTTAAAAAGGTAAATGAAGGAGGCGGGCTCTTGGAGCTTTGTTCCCATTGGTTAGAGCGGCTGGGAGGTCTCAATAAAGCAGGGGGTTTTACGGAAAGAGTGATCAGGATTTATGGTGAAATGGACAAATGGATGTGTTTGACGAGAGAGGTCCGTGCTCTGGGAGGCAGTGGCCCGTCAGGTTTGCAATGGACCTGAGGCTCAGGTGATCTCCGACCACGCGGGGGGAGGGGGGTCTGCTGTGGACGGAGCAGCATGGGGCCTGGGGCCTGACTGCACGGCAGTGTGTCCGCAGGCTTCCAGAGGAAGAGTGCAGCAAGCAGACGCGGCCTTATCGTGGGATCCCCTTGGACGTGTGCTGAGATTTGGTCACAAGGGGAATGCAGAACGAGAGCTGAAGTGAAATCCGGAGAGCAACTTAACGGACGCTTCCCCTAGAAGGCGCCCGCGTTTTCGCTTTATTAAAAGAAACAGAAGCAGACGAGCCATCGCCTCTGGCCCGGACTCCCCATGGGGGTGGGTGGGGGGTGTTCACACAGAAGATGCACCCAGCATGCTTCAGGGAGAGCAGAGGGCAGTCCTTCCACAGAAACGTCGTGGCTGGAAGTGACGGGCACTGAGCGGGGCTCGGGCTGGGCACAGGGTGGGCATCGTTGTTTAGAATCCAGGATGAGCCCAGGGAGGGGCTGTTTTCCAGGCTTCGAGTCTGATGTGCTGTTTTGTTAGTCAGGCGCCAGACACCCTCTTCCTTCCCTGTTGAGTTGGGGTGTCCCTCAGAGACGCTGGGGGGCTGAGGGTTCCCTTCCCAATGCACAGGGCCCGGAACAGAAGGACGAGTTTCGGGAGGTGCCTACGACTGGTCAACTCTGCAGAAGGAAGAGGATGTTGGGGGCCACGTGTATGTTTGTCAGCTTTTCCTCAAGAAAAATAGCCACCTTCTAAGGGCTCTTAAAAATGTAGAAAACTTGCCCTGTCACCACGGGTTCTCAGAACACTTCTAAACACACACAAAATAAGACAGATATTACCTACAAATTTCAACCATTGCTTAAACTCTAAAAGCATCTTTGTATTATTTTGCTTTGATACCGACGGGGAAACTCAGCTATAAAGAAATATTAAAAAGTACTGTTTCTTTTTTCTGTGGTGATCAGTCTCAACAATATTCTGTCGCTGCCTCCCAGCTTGTGCTGCTGTTTCCAGGGTGTGCCCGAGGGAGTGACGCATGGGGCGGCCACCCTGCTCCCCTCCCGCACCACAAAGAGCACCCTCAGATGAGCCACTCCCTTTTGCTTTCGTCAATGGTCTCTGTGAAGTTGGGGTCATTGTTCATGATGGCGGCGTCGGCGCTCTCTGCTGATTCTGCCCCCTTGGCCTCGTTGGTGTGGTAGGTGCCCTTGTGACGGAACATGTACCGGATGAGGAAGACCAAGGTACAGAGAATGGTGAAGATCACCACGGCGATGACACCTGGCGGAGATAAGGCAGGAATGGAGGTTAAACTTGTCTTCTGTGCTTCTTTCTCCCCACTTCACCATGGCTTTCCCCAGTGCACCTGTCCCCTGTCAAACAGAAAGCTCTCAAGCACCTCTGCCACTACCAACATCAACACCACCACCACCACCGACAGCAATACCAACACACCACTACCACCAAGAATACCACCAACACCAACACACGCACAATACCACCAGAAGAGGACTTCTGCTCTGCCCCCGGAGAAGAGCCAGGAGCAGCAGGAGTCACCTGTTTGCTGGGCAGAAGCACCTGAAACACCGGACAGTTTTCAGAGACTGGACAACAGGCATAGCAGAACGATGACACTTAACAATGGGAATGAGCCGAGGTGGTGGCCGGGTCTGTCTGGAGGCAGTTTCTGGACAGGGTGCAGGAGGGGAAGGCAGGAGCCAGACACGACATAGAAGGAGCTGCGGATAAAGTCTGCACACAAGTCCCTGGGAACCGCTGGCATGACAGAGATGATGGAATTAGCAGATACAGGCTTTAAAAAGGCTAAAACGAATGGCAAAAATATCACAAGTGGAGGGAAAGAACAGAAGTTTATGTTACATATGAAGGTTCATGTTATGATTTGAAGGTAGACGATAATAAGTCAAATATTGAGCAAGCAGCTAAAAATAAAACGAAGGCGTAACAGTTAAACGAAGAATGGCGAGATGAGCAGGTCCCGGAAAACAGCACGACGTCCTCAGTCCAAAAGAAGGCAGGAGAGAAGCAGGCGTGAAGGACTGATGGCACAAGCAGGGGCAGCCGCAAGGTGACCAATCCAACCACAATGGTGTTCACGCTAAATGCAACTCAGGTAACCACTGGAGTTGAAAACGAGAAACGCCAGGGTGGATAAAAAGGGGCCAACCACATGCTGTTTGTAAGAACGGAGCTTCAAGTACAGAGAGGCGAGTTAGAGGAGTGGAAGAGCTGGACCAGGCCCAGGCCGTGCGTCGCCGGCAGGCTGGAGGCGCTGTGCTGGTATGAACAAGGACCAGGGCGGCTAGCAAGGACAAAGAGCAGCATTTCCTGCTGGTGAGAGGGGCAACGGAACGTGAGTCTAAACGCGAGTCTGCTCAGCGGAACCTCACCCCGAAAGGAGAGATGGTTCACGATCACGTGGGGGATTCCACTCTCCTCTCAGCAGTCACTGTCCTGGGCGAAACCAGGCAAAGAAGCCCAAGCAAGAGAACCACTGAGCAATAGCGCCCTTCACCCTTCGGTAACGTGTGAGGAGAGCAGGTGCAGCAGTCTATAAGGCAGGTGCACGTGAGGGGGTGGTGAGGTGCCATCGCGTGGGCTCCAGCCCAGAGCACCCCTCCGCACACTCGAAGGAGGACCACGGCACCCTCACCACCGAGGTTAGGGCCGTCTTGGAGATCAGCGTGGGTATAACATGCAAAGGTGAACCTATGCCATTTACCACATGAAATAAAGGAGAAAGAAAACCCCACATGGTTATTTCAAAGGCTACACCTGAGATATTTCAACACCATTTCCTATGAAACCTGGCAGCAACTGAAACTTCATCAACCTGATAAAGGGCGTCCACCAAGACAGACGGCCTGTCCTTTTTATACGTATGTTTGTATATACACACACACACATGTATATATAGGTATACATATATAATGAAGCAGATGGACTTTGGGCTTCTACTTAAATCTTACCTCAGTACAAGAACGATTTGTTCTAATAATGTGGCAATGTATGATACTCACCTTCCTGACACGATGGCTTTAGACAAAATGGGTGTATATGGAAATGTGGTGAAGAAAACTGATGGTGCCTGGCTATTAGAAGACATAGTGTCTGGGGTCTTAAAGGACTGAAGTTAAACAATCAGCCATCTAGCAGGGAAGCAAGAAAGCCCGCATGGAAGAAGCACACCAGCCTGTGTGATCATCAGGTATCGACGGGAATCAGTGTCAGAAATTAAAAAACAAGCAATCAGATTGACATGAAGGAATGTAGACAAAGTGGAGACCCCAAGCCCACCTTGGACAGCCCCTCACAGAAGGGCCACATGGAAGGGATGAGATATCCAGGGTGCAGGATAGCACCGATGAAACACATAACTATCCTCTAGTTCTTTAATATTTCCACAGCCTATTATGGTCTTAGTTTTACCTCATTAATCTTGTGAGACCTGTGTATGTTCATCTGTATAATTAAAATTGTTAGATGCATGAAATCCAAGATAGATAAACCCTTTAGAAATAGTCGTGGGAGTAATGATTCCCTGAGGGTACAGGAAGAGAGGGGCGGGAAGGGGGGAGGGGGATCGATAGCAGTGATGACAGTGTAACCTCACTAGAGGGGAATGGACAACGGAACTGTAGGTGAACAGATACATCGATGATGCAAGATATGATGAAATAATAATAACATAATAAGGGTTCCTGGGGGGTGGGGGAGGGAGGGTATAAAGGGGAGCTGATATCAAAGAATTCAAGAATAAAGAAAATGTTTTGAAAATGATGGTACAATTATGCTTGATCTAGTTGAATGATGGATTGTTATAAACGGATTTTTTTTAAAAAAGGCCTGATTTGTGGCAGAAAGGGGACTGGTTTTGCCATTATGAGAATGCACCTATTCATACAACCATCTCAGTTCGTCCGTTTTTGGTCCAAATCAGCATGCCTCTCTTGCCTCACGAACCTTACTCACCTGACCTCACTTCTTGTTTCAATGAATGCAGAGGGACAGGAAAGGACAGCGGTTTGATGACGTCAAAGACAAGAAGGAAAAAAAACCACGGGAGGTGCTGTCAGCCATCCAAACAGACGCGTTTGAAACTGTTTCCAAGAACGGAATCGCAGATTTGACAAATGTATTAAGTGTAATGGAGCGTACTTTGAAGGTGGTTAGGTAGTTTTGTAAAACAATTTAAATGCATAGCTTTGGGAAAAAATTCCCTCTTTTTTGGGAACCCCTTCGTGCACAGACGTGGATAGATGGTATCTTTGTGTACAGAAAGATACGCTGGGAAAAAGGGCAAAAGAACACCCTCGGTCGCAGCCGATGGAACAGCTTTTGAAGGCGGTGCCTGCTGGCCCCCGGGGGCTTTTGGAGGGGTGTTCAGAGAAAGGCTGCCCCAACCAAGGTTACGGACGGAAAGACTCCACAGCTCTGTGCTATTGTGTCGCCACCGACTCATAGGGAGCCTGCAGGACAGGGTAGAACTGCCCCTGTGAGCCCCCGAGACTCACTCTTTACGGAAGAAAGCCCAGTCTTTCCCCGAGGAGCGGGTGGTTGGCGGTTTCATGGAGCTTCAGGCTTCGCAGACCAGGCCTTGCAGACCACAACCCGATGTCTTGCCACTAAGACACCGGGCTCCTTCGTATTCTAACACACACACAGCCGCATCCTGCCTCACTGAGCATGGGCAGAGGGTGGACAGCACACCACAAAACAGAGGATGATTACCTCCGATCACCACCAAGGAAAGAAACAGGAAAAATTAAGTGGCCAATCCCACAGCACTAGGGAGCATGGTGAAAGCATTCACCAAGCGAGTGAGCCCGGCCAGGCACAAGAGCCCGGAGAGTACGTTGACAGAGCGCCTCCCCCAGGGAGAACGTGGGTGGGAGCGGCCCCAGGGACTTGTCCAAGATCTTGGTGGGGGCGGCCGTGGCCAGGGCTGGTTCATCTGTCAACAGGCACCAGGTGCCTTACAGCATCTAAATCACTCCACAACCCTGGTGTTCGTTTTAAAAAATGGCAAACATGGTGGACATGATGGCTCAAGTGCCCGCTGAGCACACTCATTCTGGGTCCACGTTTCTCACATGTTCCTCCCGAGAAACCTGCTGGTAATCTGAGTGGAGTCAGAGCTCCACCTGCCACCTACCTCCAATGATGGCCGAGTTCCGGTTGACGCCGTTCCGGATGGCTTGCCCTTGTCCTGGGTTGTATGGGAAGTCAGCGCTGGCTGTCAGAGGAAAATCAGAGGCGCAGGTGAGAGCCATGACCCTCATCCATCGCTCTCCAGGTCTCCGCTCTTCTATCTACCCGCATCCCTGCTGTCCCCCGCCTCCCCGGGGGACGACGACGTGTCCTCCTCTGCTCCTGGACCCCTGTTGTGCATGGCCCACCACCCCCTTCTTCTGAGGGGTGTGAGAGTCATGGGGCTGGTGGGGGGCTTCCTGGGCTGTCAGCTCCCCGACTGACATGGGTCAGGGCAAGTACCTTCGCTCACAGGAGCTGCCTGCCACCTCTCCTCCGCTCCTCCCCTCCCTGCTGGGGGCCTTGCCCAATTGTTAGGGGAGCTTATTACAGCACACAGTATCTGTTTCACTGAGCCAGACTCATGTCTCAAGTGGACTTTGTAAGGGAGCAATGCTTCATGAAAGTTGAGAGTATTTCCTGCCTACAATTGTTCTTCCACTTATTTACAAAATAAGGATTGGGCTTATTACATGTGGACGTTTCTTCCAAGAAACAACAAGGCAGGCCCCGAGGCAACAAGTAAACAGGCAATTCACAATCGTCCGCTCTGTGGGACTTCGTCTTGGGCTGTTGAGATAATTATTTCAACAGAAACAGCTTTCCCCAAAGCACTTGGCCTTAGTTTAAAGCAGAGTGCTGGCCAAGGAAAGAAACAGAAAAAATAAAGTTGTTCTTTTGCATCGTTCGAGGAAACAGGTTTGCCTTGGGGTTTGGGGAATCTGTATTCCAGGCTGACACATTCCAGGGGTGCTTCGGGTTCCGAGAGCCCCAGGCTAACCATAGGGACACCCTTCACCCTTCTCCTCCCTTGGCGATGGGACAAGGACACTGCTGTTCTTGTCGTGAGGTGCCATCGAGTCAGCTCTGGCCCATAGCGACCCTGTGCCCACAGAGCGACACACTGCCCGGTCCTGTGAGGACCTCCCAATTGTTCCTCTATCCGTCCAGCTCCTTGAGGGCCTTCCTACCCCCCCACCCCCCTCCACTTGACCAAGCACGATGTCCTTCTCCAGGGACTGGTTCTCTCCTGACAACATGTCCACAGTACGTGAGACAAAGTCTCGCCATCCGTGCCTCTGAGGAGCACCCTGGGTGTCCGTCCTGCCAGTCTGAACGTCCCGGGGCCAGTCAGGGCGATTGACTTCCAGCACTGTGACTGCACGCTTCCGTCCTCAGCAGGACGCCACTGCTCTGGGCCACGGAGCAAACACCGTTAGCGGCAGATTTTCCCTCTGCAACATCGGGTCTGAGCTCCGGACGGCTGCGTCCTGGGCAGTGAAATGAAATCGGACGACGTCAGGGGCTTCCTCCACGGCTGTGACCGGCTGGCTGCTCCAGGTGTGACGGTGGTGTTTTTTTCATGGTGACGCGTGACACACGCTGAATGCTACCTGAGCGAACCAGCCAGAGCGGCTGCTGCGGGGTACTAGGGGTCACCAGGTCTGCTCTGACCCATCGTAACCCTGTGCACATCAGAATGGAACCCCCGCCCAGCCCGCGTGTCCCTCTGAGTCCACTGTTGCAGCTGGTGCCAATAGGGCCTTCCTGTTTTTCCCTTGGCTGCCCTCCACTTTCTCAGGCATGATGCCTTTTCCAGGGCCTGGCCTCTCGGATAACTTCCTTGCTACTTGTAGACAGATCACGCAGGAGTGCTCTCTCCGTGTAGAATACCACCTCGGGCATAAGGCGTGGTGTGGCAAGAACAATCGGCCTCCCTGCAGGCCAGGCACTGTTCTGGTCCTTATCAGGCAGAAGCTCATTGAATGTCTGCACCAACTGGGTCGGAGAGCCTTCGATTCGTGACCATGAAGTGGTGGGGCCAGGATTTGAACTCAGGTAGCTGGCCCCACCCATGACTTCCTGACCACTTGGCTGGACTCTGACACAGCATTGCTCTCCAAGGGCTCCAGGCAGTTCTCAACAGAACTGCCTGGTGCCCGGGCAGCCCACCCACTCAGCCCCAGTTTCCATGCTGTCCGTGGTCTGGGGAGGCGGTGCCATGGGGAGGCTTCTGACTGTACGTGTGTGGCTTCACAAGCTGAGCGTGAGAGATGTCCCACGCACAAGAATACTCCACGTGTGGTGCCGTCAGCAGAGCCGGGTGGTGAACCAGGACCCCTAGACTGACACTGTGAAGCGCAAAGCCTGGCCTTCCCGGGAGGTCATGGGGCCAGAGCCATGCCTGGGGCCAGCCACCACAGGCATGCGCATGCTCCAGTGAGCTGCACCTGTGCTGGGGTTACTTTCAGTGTCGCTTGATCCAGCAGAACGGAATTGTGTGCCCTCGGGGGGCGGGGAGCTAGTGTGTCATGGTTCTGCATTTGGCTGCGATCCACAAGGTTGGCAGTTTGAAACTACGAGTCTCTCCGAAAGGTAGGGCTTTCGACTCCCATAAGAGGGACAGTCTTGGGGAAACCCCCATCCTATAGGGTCTCCGTGAGTCGGCATCGCCTCGACAGCAGCGAGTTGAGAATTTGGTGCTTTTTGGCATTCTTGACGATCTCCAGGCCTTTCCTGCTAGTTCATCACAGCCCGGAAGCTCCACTGAAACATGCCTGAATCATGGCAACTGCACACATGGTGCCCTGCTGGGAACGGAACCTGGGCCTTGTGAATGGAGGCTGAAGACGCTGCCCCTGAACCACGACTGCCTCACAGATGGCCCTGAGATCAGCTCCCAGGACAGCGGCCATCTATGGGGCCCTGGTCCCATGCCCGAATGTGAAAACGTGCAGAAGCCCACGGCGACTTCCTTTGCCTGGAGGCTGACAGCAAGCCCTGTGGGTTTCTGAGACCGACTGCTGACGTGAGCAGAAAGCCCAGTGTTTCTCCCCGCAGAACTGAGGGTGGTTTCAAACTGCCAACCACGTAGATCGCAGCCTAACACATAACCACTAGGCCACCAAGGCTCCTAAGTGGCATGTATTGATTAAAACATACCCGTAAGAGAAGAGTATGAAGGAGAACTTTGGTACAACACCGATGTAAGGGATGGGCTTTAGTTACTAATAATGCATCAACCTTGGGGCATCCCTTGTAACAAATGTATCAAACCGAGGCAAGGTGTGAATGAGAAAAGAAGCCAAGGTCGGAGGATGGTATTTGGGAACTCACTGTATTTCCTGCACAATTATTCTGGGAAGCTACAGTCGCTGCAAGAACAGAGTCTATTGAGAGAGAGTAATATGGATTCTTCGGTATCACGTTGCTTTTTTGTTCTGTGGAGTGGGTAGGGAGGGAATGGGCTAAAGGTTTTTTACTCCTACAGACAATGAAAGAGGTGATTGGGTTCTTATTTACTAAGTTTTAAAAATGTGCAAAATTGTAGTTTTTAGCCTTAGCAACCAACCTGATGTAAAACGCACATTTCGACGCATGTGAAAACAAACATTATCTAACCTAAACCCCGGGATGCATTAGAAGCTCCAGGTATCACTGTATCAATGTAAGACACAAAGAGCCAAGGACGGGACTGCATCTCCATGGAAACCACTTGAGCTTCCACGTCTGAAGGGTAATTTGAGGCTCTGCAATAAAACTGCTGCTATCAAGCGTGATTTAATTCGCATTGAAACATTACTTTTGCAGGGTCTGGGCCGGAAGATGGAGCAGACCCTTGTTAGCGGAGTTTCTTTGTTTCATCGCACTTTGTTTTGCTTTATCTGAGCTAAGCGCTGGGCAGCCCCTCTACGCCAGTAATGGGTTTCAGTCACCGACTGTATTTCAGAAACAGACAGGAGAACTCATGGTTGACCAGAAGATGCAAGAGCCCAAGAGGACAGACACGGTGTCACTTCAGAAGAGGTCAAGCTGACAACATTTTTGGAGGGAAGGGTCTTCTCCAGGCTACTAGGTGTCCATCTGGGCAGACCGTGGTCAGTACCTGCCTAACCCTGTCTATTATTTATAATGAAAACTCTTCCTTGGTGTCTAAGAAGCATAAACAGCCAGCATCCTAGGTTTCAAATGGAGGAGAGGAGATGGATTTCTATTATCTGGCTTGAGAAGTTGAAGGAGTCTCACGTTCCTAGCTTCTTAGAGGAGAAGAAGCGCCCCTGGGGGGCTGATGAGTACTGTGCTTGGCTACCTGAGTCCTCCCTGGAGGTGTCTCGGAAGAAGGGTCTGGCGTCCACTTAGGAAGGATCTGTCACGGAGATCTCAACAGAGCAAGGCTCTGGTTGACACACGCTGGTCACATGAGTTAGATCAGCTCACTGGCAACTGGCTCGCTGGCGCTGGTGCTGCTATTAGCGTGGGTGCTGGTCCTGGCTCTGATGCTGCTTCTGTTATTGGTACTGGTACAGTATGGGTACTGGTATACTATGGGAACCTGTGCTGCTCCTGGCTTTGTAACTGGCACCGGGATAGTGTGGGTACTGGTACTCGTCTGGCTGCTGGTGCTGGTGCAAGCGAGGGGGCAGGGGGCAGAGGCTGCTGTGCTCAGGGTTCCTCGATAAAGAGAGGTTCATTCAGTCACAAGAGTCAGAACAAAGGGACTAGTCACACCTGAGGGTCGTATCGACCTCTTCGTTGTAATGCAGCACCCACATCTGTATAGGAAGACTGAACTTGCACTTGCTTTTACCACACCCCTCGTCTCTTAGCTGATTCACACCTCGAATTGCCACTCCAGGAGAGAGACCGATAGCCCTGGATGGGCCAGCATTGCACGTTTCTGTCTGACAGACTGACCGCAGGTCAGTGTTTGCATTCTGAGCCCTGGCGTACGTTCAAATGCTGTTCTGAATTCTCTAGGCTACTTCGCCAATGCTTCTGACCCTTGATCCCCCAATACAGCCGTGAGGAACCCAGGGAAACTCAGAGAGAGGCCGTCTGGCCTGCAAACTTGCAGAGAGTCACTGGTCTGTGCCTGGCCTTGAGGACTTACCGACCACAGCCACATGCCATCTAGTTTACGTTAGAAGTTTGGGGTCCTGGTGACTAGAGCTCAGGGCTGCATGGTCAAGAGTCCTACCCCAATCACCGGGCCAAATCCTGGAGCCAGCCCTGCAAGCCTTTTAAACGAGCTCTCCCAGCCATGGTCCTCCCCGCCTCCATAGTGCCCCTCAGCCCCATCATGAGTCTGTAATGATTGTCGCTGTTTCTGTTCTATCATCTGTTTTGGCCCCGGGGCCGTGAGTCTGTGGGAGGTGTCAGCCCCTGTGCCGTGTGCAGGCTGACTGCTCCCTCACCCGGGATGACTGTCTCTGTTTTCTATCATCACTGGCCCCGTGGCTGTGAGTCGGCAGGAGGTGTCAGCCCCTGTGCCGTGTGCCTGCTGACCGTTCCCTCAGCTGGGTGACTGTGTGCGCCTTGTCTCTGTCCTGTGAGGGTTAACAAAGGGTCTCTACAGAGCATGTCTGAATCTGTGTGCTTTCCCAGTAGCACAAGGCTCTCGGCAGAATGTGATCATTTGAAGGAAAGACAAACCAGATAATAGAATGAAGAGATTACGGATAAGACATGAAAGGTATTAAGCATGCAATCTTCCCAGAGGATGAAAGAGGGCTCGGTTAGAAATAATTAAGAGGCAATTATAGGAGATGCAAAGATTATTTTAAGAGCTTGCAGGCGGTACAGAAAACCAACCACCAGCTTGTAATTATGAAGGAAACAGAGTAGATACATATGCAGTTTTTAAATGTTCACTACATCCACAGATTGTTTTCTACATGAAGCTATTAAAAATATTTTATTTTCAGATGGCAGAAAAGAAATTTTGAACCTAGATGCGGAATCACTTCATTAACAACCATAGTGATGAAGTGACCGGGGCCTTTAAAAATGAGGCTCCCCCTTTCCAGTGGCAAGTCTGGGTGTGACCGGATCACCCCCTCTTAGACGTGTCGCGGTACCTGACCAGTGACGTGGCTCTAGTTGAAGGTGACCCCAAACGCTATGTTCTGTTTGGTGCCCAATTGACCTGGTTGGTTTTTCCACCTGCAGCTGACACAACGGCTCTCTGACAGCAGAGAGGATGTGAAGCTCTTATTGGTTAAGCCCACTCCCCTCAGTGTCAAGGGAGAAAAGCCCTCACAAAGGGACCACACCAGCAACAGCCAGTAAAGCTGAGATGAACGGAGGTGGCCAAGGATGTCATTTTGCTCGGCACGTGGCTTTAGAGAGGTGGTCTATGCAGTGCACGGGTGGGGACTCCCAGCTGCCTCCCTCCCGGGCCGTGGCCCGCTAGGTCTGCTATAGCCCGGGCTGGGCACATACCTGACTCCAGGTGGTCCAGGTGCCAGGGGTCGGTGGCGGCCGACATGGGGGAGATGGTCAGCGGCGAGGCGCCGCAGTTGGACTCCACCAGCTGGCCCTGCACGTGGACCTGGGCTGACGCGTTGGTCTGGCGCAGGGCTGCCTTGAGTGGAGCCACGCCGTTAAACTGCACGCGGGACAGGCAGCCCGTGAAGCCGGGGGTGTTGTACTTGTGGATCTCGGGGTCGATGGTCCCCGTCTCTGCAAGGAAAGGAGAGCCATGAAAGAGCGGTCCTCACGCTGCCCGGCACCCCCTGCAGTCTCAGGGTTCAGGCCGAGATGGCCCACAGGGCCAGAGAAGACGAGGAGCCCTCTGGGAGGTGGATGGATCTGGGCTGCAACACGGGACGCAGACGGACGGATGCTCGTGAGGATGGCAGGCGCCGGGCAGGGCACCGGATGAGAGCCAGCCCCTGGAAGGGACTTGGCTTGTTTGGATGGCTCCGTAATGGCTCCGTAATGGCTTGATTAGACCTGGGCAGCAGAGCTCAGTGCCAGGTCCCTGGAGTGGAGACCGTGGCAGGGGCTGGGGCATGTGCATAGGAAGATGTTCACACCCCATGGTGAACTGATCAGCCCCTGCTTCAAAAAGGGGCTGACGTTTTCCCCTCGCCTGTGTCTGCCACACTCACCTGGACACCAGCTGCCAATGTGCTCCCCTGGAGGGAGCCTCACCTTTGCAGGTTACCTGTTGTCAGTGAGCACCTGCTTCTCCGTGTGAGCCCAGACAACACTCCAGAGACAGTAACGTCTCCTTTCACAGCTGGGCTGATGAGTCGTACAGCACCCACCGCATCCCCCCGTGCCTGGGACAAGGCTATCTACCAGCTCCTGCCTGCCAGGATGGGGTCGGGGGTCCTGGTGTGCAGGGGGGAAAAGACGAAGATCCCACTGGCAGGGACCCCGCACTGTTGGCGCGTTACAGTGTGGTGGCTTGCTTGTTCCGTCATGCTGGAAGCTACACCACCAGTATTTCAAACACTACCAGGGTTCCCCGTGGTGGACAGGTCTCCGCGGAGCTTCCGGGCCAAGGACAGACCAGGAGGAAGGACGCGGCTGTCCGCGGCCGAGGGATGAGCCGGGGACATCTCATGAAGCGCAGCAGGACATTGACGGATACGGGCTGGGAGTTGAGCGGCTCAGGGTTGAGTGGGGAAGAGCTGACCGCAAAGCAGAGGCAGCCAGGACGGCACCAGGGAGCCAAGCTTCCAGGACCATTGTTTGCTGGTGGGGTGCGGCTCCCAGTGAGGAGACTTAGCCGTAGAGACGAGGGTCGGTGATAAAGAAGACCTACGTGGTGGAGGATGGGCTCACACACAGGGACCGTGAGGCCGGGCCGGCCGGCCGGTGTTTGGTTGTTTTCCCGTCGGAGCCGGCTGGACGGCATCTGACAGCAGCAGGAGCGGCAAGGCGGATGCCCAACAGTGTGCCGGGCAGGGTTATGGCTTGCTGGGAACTGACGACGGAATGGCTAGCTAGACGGCCAAGGGGTCACTGCCAGGTGGACTCAAGAGCCAGTGTGGTCACAGACAGAGACCCACTGCCTGCTGATGAGGAGCCAGCCATCGACTTGGGCACACAGCCTCCCCCCCACCCCCAGTGTGCACACGACTCCCTGCCCTAACCCCTCCCTGTACGCACATTGCAGGACCATTCACTGCTCGCTCTGCTCCTCCCCGAGTATGCACACAGCAGGATGGCTTGCTCCCCTGGCCCCCGAGGGTGCACACTGCAAGACGACTCACTGCCATGACCCCCGCCCCGAGGATGCACACAGGAGGACGGAGACCCCCTCCCTGCCCCGACGATCTGCCCACCAGGCTTGAACAGGCTGATTTTCAGAACTGGATCACCAGGCCTTTCTTCTGCGTTCCGTTGTCGATGGGAAGTTCTGTTGTAATCTGTTCTGCAGCACAGCCACACACAGGCCCTCACGGATGGACGGACAGACAGACAGATGGGTGGTGGCTGCACACGAGCGTGGATCCCCTCACAGAGGGCCTCAGGGGAAGGGGGCTGCTGGGAGCTGCCGGGCTGGGGCGAAGAAGCAATGCTCAGAGCCAAGATTTGCTTTAAGACTCGAGTGTGTGCCTGACAGGTTGGCCCACAGCTCGTCAAAAGCACAGATGTTGCTGTCCCTAGGTGCCATCAAGCCGGCTCTGAATCACAGTGCCCCTGTGCACAACAGAATGAAACCCCTCTGGCACTGCGCCATCCTCACAAGGGTCCTCTGCCTGAGGCCAGCGCTGCAGCCGCTGGGTCAGTCCATCTCGTCCGGGGCCTCTCTGTGTCTCGCTGGACCAAGCATGACGGCCTTCTCCAGGGCCTGGTCTCTCCTGACGACATGTCCAAAGTACGTGAAATGGAGTCTTGCCATCCTTGTCTCTCGGGAGCTCTCTGGCGGTTCTTATTTCGCAGTCCCCGGGACTTTCAACATTCTTCTCCGGCACACAATTTAGATGCATTCTTCAGTCTTCCGGATTCAAGGTCCACCTTTCACACGCTTGCGAGGCGACGGAGAGCACCATTCCTCGGGTCAGGCCTCCCGGTCCTCAAGGTAACCAGGCTTCCAGCTTTTTGGTGCCAAAGCACAACAGTGCTGAAGGGGCGGGGCTTCTTTCTGAATTGCTTAGCAAACGGGCTAGAGCAGCGGTTTCCAGCCTTCCTCATGCCGAGACCCTTTAATACAGTTCCTCGTGTTGTGGTGACCCCTCCCAACCATAACATTCTTTTCGTTGCTACTTTATCACTGTCATTTGCTACTGTTATGAATTGTCGTGTAAAGCATAGTGTGTTTTCCAATGGTCTTAGGTGACCCCTGTGAGAGGGTCATTCTACCCCCAGGTTGAGAACCGCTGAGCTAGAGGCTGCGGCTGCTGTCCTTAGGTGCCACTGAGAGGGTTCTGACTCAGCAGGCCCACGAACGGCAGAGAAAAGCCCAGCCCGGTCCTGCCCGTCCTCACCCTGAGTGCCACGGTCAAGTCTGCTGGAGCAGCCACTGGGTCCGTCCACCTCGACGGCCTTCCTCTTTGGATGACCGTCTGCTTTCCCAAGCATGGTGCCTTCTCCAGGCACTGGTCTTTCCTGACCACATGTCAAAGCCTCGCCATCTCTGCCTCTGAGGAGCACTCTGGCCATGCTCCTTCTGAGATCGGTGCGGTGTCCTGGCGGTCCAGGACCAGCCAGCTTACACTCCTCACAGCACCATCACGCAAAGCCATCGACTCTTGGGGGAACTGGGGGCCCTGGCCACAAACGGCCCCCTGGCTGCCCGCTGGCAGCGGCCACTCCCCAGGATGGTGTGAGAGCAGACCTCAGCCACTTGGAGTTGGCCCTCAGGGCCCGTCCTGGATGTGGGCCAGCACTTACATCTGACCACAATGGCCTTGACACAACACAGCATTCCCGCCACAGGGTGGCCCCGGGGACCCGGGTGCTCTCTTGAATGCTGCTCCAGGCACTGTGAGCCCCCGCCTGTCCCTCAGGGACCTCCCCTTCTGTCCATCAGCTGGACGTCTGATAGGCATTAAGGACGGTGACCCAACCAGGCCCAGCCTGTGAGATGACATCTCTACTCAAGCACCCGTAGGAGGGGACAGAGCCCTGAAACCACGGCAGAGGGGGAGGTTACGGCAAAGCCAATGGTGAATGTGAGTGGCTGCTAACCAGGAAACTAGATTCCAGCCCAGCCAGAGGCCCTGCAGAAGAAAGGTCAGGTGATCCACTCCTGAAAACTCAGCCAGTGACAGCCCAGCAGGGCCCAGTGTCCCAGGTGAGGGCACCCTGCGGGGAGGACACCTGAAATGAGGGCTCCCTGAGGGAGAAAACCCTGAGGCAAGAACACATGGGGTGGCCCTGTGTCAGAATCGATTGACAGCCACATTTGCGCATTTGATTTTGGGAAAATTGTCGACAGTTCACCTTGTCCTCTGAAGCCTGGGGCAGGGCAGGTGTGGGGCTCCAGCAGACCACCCAGACCACGAGCTCAGGGGTCAGGCGGTCCTCCCCACCCCTTGGGAGGGCAGTGATGTGGGGCTCTCCTTCACCCTCTGAACAGCGGGGGTTTCCTGCTCTGGGCCACAGGGTGCGGCTGGTGGTTGTCCTCACCGGCCCCTTTCCTGGGCCTGGGAGCTCTTTTCCCAGGCTGTGCAGGCAAAGGCCGGCTGGAGGTGGCTGCTGCCACCGGGCTGTTACCAGCCAGCTCTCATCGGCCCGGCGAGGCCCTGGCCCAGAGGACCAGCTCCTGCTCAGTCCGAGGATCATTCCAGGCTGTTCCACCCAGGGCATCGAGGCCTGTGTGTGAGATGAGCCAGAGCAGGTGTCCCTACAACTCCCCGAGGATGGCCCCTTGTCTGGTTCTGTCCCCTTAACACACACTGCATCGGGTGCAGGGTTCTTGACATCACCTGGGGGAGGAGGGATGGAGCTGACTGGGGGCACGGGGAGGATGGACACACCGGTAGGCTGGGGTGGTCCAGGAAGTGTTACCCTAAAGAAAAGGAGGGACCGCGCTGGGTAGAGAAGCCAACAGAGTATGGCACCCAGTTCAAAGCAGTGCCAGACAGGGGTGGGCAGTGGGTTGTGGGTGCTGCTTGCAGCACAGGGAGCCCTCCTGGCAGTGGGGACTCCACCTCCCCTCCAGGCACCACAGGTCTGCTTGTACATCTGCTACCACAGAAAGCCCCCACCATGCAGTTATCAACCAGCACCCAGCCACAGATTCCTGCTCACAACTGAGATACCAGGGTACGGGAACAGCACCCACCAGGGCTCCTCACACACACACACTCACACTCATCCACACATGCACACACTCACACCCCCACATACACACTTAGAGACATAGACACTCACGCACACTTGCACACATACACACACACACACACACACACACACACCAGTCTCGTATGCACTCACCCATGCATACACAATTCACACCCCTGCACACGTGGAAAACACTCACATGTGCACACACTCACTTTCTCCCATATATTTCCATGGGCAGACACCCCGTCACTCTCATCTGCGTGTGAATCCTTTACACTAGCAAATGCATGCACACATGCACACTCGCGTGCACACACACACGACCATGCAACTCTCTAACGCTCCCCCACCTGGACATCCACGTGCACGCACACACGCGCGCTGACACTCACTGTCTGAAGCCACATCCCGCCGCGGGTCCCCGCGTCCTCAGC